ATATATCAGCTTAAGCGATTACAGATATTTTAGTAATCATCATGTCATACTCGTCATATCATACTCATCGTGGCGTGCTCAACATTAACCTTCCCCTTAGGGCTGAGAGCAAAACGATAATTCACTTTCACAATAACTAGTGTCTTCTAATCAACACTAGCGTACCCTCTCAACAACTAGCTCCCTCGAAATCTCAAAAATCCTTTGCGCTCGTCTTTTCATTGGTTCCCATGATACAATGACGTCAATTTCGAGATCGTTCAGATATGCAACAAATTGCAGTTGGGACTCTAGAACGGGATCTAAATCGACCGGATTCACTTGTGCTAGGGTTCGGGAATACTAGTTCCTATTTACTAGTGTCCAGTGAATACATTAACTTGGTACGCAGTTCGGACTGAGATATCTCATTTCTTTGCGCGAGGAAATCTATTGGTTCTGCGGATGCGGTGACGTCAATTTCGAGATGGAGCAGATGTGCAACAAATGGGTTGTTGGGGGGCTAGGGACTAGGGCTGAGTGGGTTTAAATTCACTTTTGTTTGTTTGTGGGATGATAGTGTGTTCTCGTTTTTTTAAATTTAGATGAGAGTTTAATTTGGAGGGGTTTGGTATTGAAGGAGAGAGAACTTTGCAACCAGTATGTGAGGTGTAGGTAGTATGTGAAGTTTATGATAGTACTAGTGTTAAGCTCGTTATTTCTGAGAAAGAAAATGCTGTGTCGAAAAGTTATATAGAATCAAGATTCTTTCTCTTGTAATATGTCATGATGATTTCCTTATGTTGGTTGTTGTTTTGCATACAGAAATCGAGATCATTCTCCAGAGAGGGGCGTTTGTCTCTTGGGGCCGTTGGATGATCTCTCTTTTGTTGTTATGGTTCTTGGTATATAGCATCATAGAATTTCCATAATCAAATGCGGTGTTGGGAGGTGAAACAAGTGAAGGCTAGTCCTGGTCTGGATCTGTTTTAGCTTTCTAGCTCTAGACTCGAATCAAGCGAAAGATTACCAGATCTAAAACGAGATTGGTAGACTGGGAAATTCCCCTAGAATAGTTACTAAGCATGAGTATTTCCCCCGTTGATGTTCTACGGGGGTTTCTATAATCAATATTGTAGTTCAATGGTGGGGGATTCTCAATACCTAAACATATTTAGGACCTCTAGTTCGTTGGGAAAGACTTCACTCCCTTGGAATATATACTCGTCTTGAATGATTAGTTTCTTTGGAAACCATCAATCAATGCACCAATTTGAGTTTAGAGAAATGTCAATCTGTATTCAGAAACTCATAATATCCTGAGCTTCGCCGTCTAGTCTGTGTGCTAATTTGACACTTTGGAATGTGGGATACATCATCATCTTGAGCGTACAAGTTGGAGTGAAATATGTGACGAGATATTTGAGCTAAACATGAATACTAAAGATGGACGGTAGAGGTTAAAGTCAAACTAGCGATCCGGCATCAAGGAGCATCTTTAGATTATGGTATGACACCATAGGGCGAGCGATGACCTGCAAACAAAATGGCTCCATAAACGCCATTTTTAGCGAAGCCATGACGACGTAGAGTCACGGAATCATGGCATCATGCACTCAGATGAACAAATGAATTTCCTCTGCCTATCTTCAACCTTTATTTCTCTTCAACTATACATCTTCATCAACCAACCCAACCAGATAGATTATATTAATCGATGATTTTTTTGAAGTAGCAATCAAATCTTCATGCCACCACCATCAGAGTTTTTATTCAAGTTGCAACTACGCATGTATGCTGACATCTCTCTAATGAATGTAATTGGAGTATTTACCAGCGCATTCATGACAAGTCTTGACATTCCCAAGCAGTCCATTTCTCGCCTGTAGTACTAGTGCCCAAAGCGAGCATGTAGCGATATTTCTAGAAACAACAAATCCACAACTGTCTCCTAAGGAATTCTGTAGAGGCTTTGCAACCAGCAACAGAATGAAGAACCATCCTCACTTTATTACTATTTCGACACATGCTTGTCGCAATCCATTCAACACCATCATTTCTGTGCTTTTACAAACAAGAAGAAAGCTCACTCAAATCGCAAAACGTAAAGCTAAATGCCTGTGCTAAACCTACGACACGGACAGACCACTTGATCTCTTCTCACTTCGTTCAGACCATGCAGGAAATCAATCTGACCTTCATCGTTCCTCAAAAATGAGGTGCTAACGATATCGAACTCCACTTCTCACATATACACTCCTCCAAATCTATAAATCTACCGCTTAAACTCCACCCCTATCTTCAATACCCTTCAGCAAAACCACACTCCCATATCCATTATCCATCCTTCAATCTTAAATGCCATCCTCAAATTTCCCCTTCAGAAGAAATACAACACTTACCCAATTGGAAACACAAACGAATACATTCCCCCCTCTCAGAAAGTGTATTCAGAATACCAGCATACAATACATACCCTCCCTATCATCTGACACATAATTGCGAGCAGTTCAGAAGTTGAGGGAAGTCGAGTAGCACAAGATACTTGAGCCAACATTCACATTCGTAGAGAACATTGAGTATTGTATTATTATCTTTATATTCTTCATAAGTATTACAATCGTTCTATAATATGCACATGCTAGGTATCGTTCCAGCATTCATTTTGGATCAAGATATCCTCATCCCAAACATCAAGTCCAGTGCCGTAGTAAGAGAAAAGCTTCAGTCAATATATGTCTTATATATGACCAGTAGCTCGTATGAGGGATCACAAACACGTAAGTTCATGATCACTCAACCCATCCCAAATCCAATCAAACGCCCCAACCTTATGCCAAAGGCTTTCTTGCAACCATCAAATACATAGGGGTGAACAAATCTTCCCTAGCACCAGCAACCAAACAATCAGCAGCCAACGCCAATGAATCAGCTGTCTTTTGTGTTCCGTGTGGTGCTAACTTCATGTACTCCAAAGCACCGACAAATTTGTGGACTAATCCTCGACCAACCTTGGTCATACGGGCAATAGTGAAGAAATCTCCAATGGTACCCATGTGCTTGAATTCACCAGCCAAAGGATAATACCATGGAGTAGCATCTGGTCTCTTGGCCAAATCCTCATTGAGTACGAGTTCGAACCCAGCGGCTTTGATGGCGGCGATACCCTCAGAAATCTTGACCATGTTGGAGATTCCGTCACCTTGCTCAATACCGAGACGAATCTCACGGTGATGTTCATTGTCGTTATCGTAGTTATCGGTCATGAGCCATTCGTAGACACCGAAAGTTCCACCTGGCTTGAGAACCTTGAAAATTTGGGAGTAAACACCCTCGAGGGATGGGGCGTGAACAGTTGCTTCAATTGCATAAACAGCATCGAAAGAGTTTTCTGGGAAAGACATTTGCTACAAAACTGTTAGTCATGGTCCAAGAGAGGAGGCGTGCGAATGAAGATATGTGAAGTCTTTGTCAGTGCATATGGTGAAAATTGTCTCATGGCTTGATCTCTCAAGCTCTGAAGTAGCAAATACTTTAAAATTGCGTAGCATCATATAGAATCCACACATCTCCGTGGCTTGAAATCAAGAAAAGTTGAACATACCATGAAATCTCCCTTGACAAATTTCAATTGATCAGACATGCCCTCCTTTGCCGCATATCGAGTCGCACGCTCAATTTGATAATCGTTGTTGTTCAAACCAGTAATGTGTGCTCCAGTGAACTTGGCAATCTCTCTTGCTGGTCCACCGACACCGCATCCAACGTCTAAAACTTTGTCACCATCCTTGATACCAATTTTGGCTGCGAGGTAATGTTCGTGACGAGCAATGGCTTGGTAAAAAGGCTCCCCGTATGCGAAACGACAGAAATGGAAAGATTGTCCCCATCCATATTCGTAAAGATCGGTTGCGAGATTGTAGTAACTATACATATATTAGTATTCAGTTTTGCTTGAGATCAACGGAACAACTCACTGTCTGGTCAAAGTAGCATATTCTGCAACGCGTGCATCTCTGTCTTCCTTGGTCTCATTCTTAGCAGCCTTGTCATCCCAATGCTTGAAGTATTCATCAACAGCAGCCTTTTGAGCTGAAGAGTCCTTTCCCATCATAGCACGGAAACCGCCCTCGGCACTGGATGAATCCTTATGCATTGCTTTGTTGAAAGCAGCATCGCGGGAGTGATCCTCGTTCTCGAGCTTGGTTGGAGCCATTGTATATATTGAATGAATTCGTAAATTAGAAGACGTATTATTTTAAAGAAAGCGGTATTCGAGTTGATCGAATTTTGAAGAATTAAATGAAGGTAAAGTAAAGTTAAGTGGAATGGTGAAAGTTTAGGACATTGAAGAAAGGGGAATTTCTGATAGATATTTATCAACACCATTGAAATTATGGCCAGGGTAATTTAGTTACCCCTAGTCGTATAGCGAATCGTATTCGTGTACTAGGCCCGAAGTGATAAATGTAAGGGGTCTCAAGCCTCCAATTGGTCATTGAGCCTCAACCATGAATGGGGAATTTTCGATAGGCGGCGGGACAGCAAATTGTGCAGATTAGACTCGAAAGGCTGGGCAATAAAATCGTTGGCATTTTTGGATACACCGGTAGTGAGAAGAAACGGTGAATGAAGGATCAGAGTGAGGATTTCTATCACGGTGCACCGAGGTCTCAGAATCCTTCAAATCATTCACATGTAATAAAGACTGGGAAATAGATTGAAAGGTATACATCATTGAGGAAGCCGGAAAGATAATATTTGCTAGGTAGGAAAAGGCAAAGAAGCCCATTGTTTTGATTTGTAAGGCTATCTATCAGCCTTATCACGTGTACCCATGCGCAACTGCATTAGTCAAATTCCTGATTTTGAATTTCTTCGCCTCTTCTTCAGCCTTTCCTAGCTTCTATCATCAAGCCAACAAAATATCAGCGTCACTTTGTCGCAAAAGACACACTAAAACACACGATATCGACACCGTTATCCTACAAATATCATAACAACATATAAATTCCTTAATCATGCCACCACAAATCAAACAAGATCTCAATCGCTCCGGATGGGAAACCACCGACTTCCCCTCCGTCTGCGAAAATTGTCTTCCCGATAACCCTTTCGTACAAATGATTAAACAAGACCACGGCGAAGAATGCAAACTTTGCACACGACCTTTCACCGTCTTCCAATGGAAAGCCGATCGCACAGCTCGTAGTAAACGCACAAATATCTGTCTCACATGCGCGCGATTGAAGAATTGTTGTCAATGCTGTATGTTAGATTTGAGTTTCGGTTTACCGATAGTGGTTAGAGATGCGGCGTTGAAGATGATTGCACCGGGACCGCAGAGCGAGGTCAACAGAGAATACTATGCGCAGAATCATGAGAAGGAAATCGAGGAGGGAAAGGGAATGGAAGAGTATGAGAAGACGGATGAGAAGGCTAGAGAGCTTTTGAGGAGGTTGGCGAACAGTCAGCCTTATTTCAGAAAGGGGAGAAAGATGATTACGGATGGGGAAGGTAGTGGTAGCGGTGCTGCAAATGGAAGTCAAAGTGAGAAGGGAATAGCATTGGCAACCAAGGGACCAGGGCCGATCCGAACACGAGATGGACAACCGAGCAGGGGTGCAGGTCGGGGTGGTAGAGGCGGGGCCAGAGGAGGGAGAGCTTTCCCTAGTGCGGCGCAATTACCACCAGGGCCTCAAGATATCTTACCACCTTCCGACAAATCAATCACTTCGCTTTTTATTACTGGTGTTGAAGACGACTTACCAGAATATAAGATTAGGGATTTTTTCTCGCCATATGGGAAATTAAGATCATTGGTCTGTTCGCACATGTCACATTGCGCATTCATTAATTATGCGACAAGAGAAGGAGCCGAAGCTGCAGCAGAAGCCTTACAAGGAAAAGCTATAATTGCGGGTTGCCCATTGAGAGTACAGTGGGGAAGACCCAGACCCATTGGTACGATGGATAAGGATGAGCGCATAGCTACCGGCAGGGAAGGACGATCCGCGTTTTCGAGTTCGGGTTCGGGTTCACAGAGAAGAGCGATTGAGGGTGGTGCTTCACAAGCTGCAGCTCCACGGGATGATTTGGCTAGTATGTCGGCAGTTCCTGCTCCACCTGGTGCAGGCGACGTGCAATATGCCAGTTTGGCCGGTAATTAGGGGGTTTGATAAACGGAAATTGTTCTTTCGGGTGTTTGGGAGTTGGGAAGCCAAAGGCTCTGGGAAGTGGAGTGATCTTTGTATGTCTAGAAATACATTGCATATAATGACAATTGTGGCCTTTATGGTCACGACGTATACCTATTTTGCTTTGTGTCAATCTGTCTGTAAAACGTCCTCGCTATGCATGTCACCCTTTTGACCCTCTCAATACCGGCCTCGATGTCCTATATTTACATATCCACTTTTCTGCCCCCAACTCTCATTGTCTTCAGAAACCAATGTAACCTCAGATAACCTAGTCCTTACACGTCTTCCCGTCAATAGTAACGTTCTTGCCATTCGGCATCTTGATCGTATCATTATCTCCCCGTTCTGTATCTTCGTGAATGTTTAACTCTGTGATCTGTTAGCTTGATTTTGATCTTTCCATTATGTGAAGATTTTGACCTACTATACTTTTCATCCCCCTCTGCTTTCTGTCCCTGCACCACATTTCGCCTCAAGAATTGCGCAACATCTTCTGCATGCGCAATGGCAGCTATAGATTCTGGTGATTCGGGAGCGAGAGATCGGTTGGCGAGGAAAGTGCTACGGGCTTGTTTGCGCGCGGAAGTGAGAACCGCGATATCTTCTATGAGGGGGTTAGATACTGGTTGCTCTTGCAATTCTCGTTGTGAGATGGACAGGAAAGCACGAACCATTGAATGCGACTCGAGTCGCACGGAGAAGATGTCTGTAGGCTGCTAACGCCATGGCTTTTGATGTCTGTGAAACTACATAGCATATTTTGGTCAGCATACTTCTATCCTTTGAAAAAATAAAACGACAGCGATATATCATTTTATTAGGACTTCCTTTTAGGCGACGATGACTACCCCAAAGAGCAATTTCAAATGGAACTGTTGCCACACCCTGCTTTGTGTCGAAAACCAGGCATCCTGCGACTTCTATCTATGGATCAGATGAGATAGATGAAAGGAGGTCAACAGTACTACCCAAAGCAGACTATAGTGCAGCCTTCGAAACCATGGAGGTTAGGAGATGCTTTGGAAAGATAAACGAGGCACATAGCCAAGTTAATAACACAAGAATATTTCCAACTACATGGGTATATCCAGACTATAAGGGTTGCAGTAGAACTGCAACTTCCCCAGGGCTTTTCACATTACCCATGGCATGGAACAGCGACACGATAGACAGTGGGGATCAAAGACAAAGCAACAGGCGGAATTTTAGCACAAGAGATATCTCGTATAGAAAAAACGAGAGCCCGAGAAAAACCCACGCTCCTAGAAAAAGTCATGTTTGAGGCTATTGATAGACTGTATATGCGCCCCAAGAAAAACATCCAACGACCTTGAAGAGCAGGTATTCACGTCTACAGCGCCCAGCCCGGTTTCTCAGGCCTCTCAAATCACGGTTATAGCGCGAGACAGATGAAGGCGCATGCACGACTTGCTCAAGTCATTCATCTGAAAGCCCAAATTTGAATTCAAGAAGCTCAACTCCTCTAGCAGAATGCGAATTCGTCGAAGAACACAATGAAACTGAATCGCACTTCCCAATGAATTGTCAAGCAACATCAAGCTGTTCAGCAGAAGTCGAAAGCTTTGAGAAATCTAGTCCAACTATGGTACTGGAGAGCCCCAAGCCATACCGTCTACAACTTGGGCAGGCCTTGATGAAGAAGTCCGTTCAAAACGCGCCCGAAAATAGAGTCTCCAAAAAAAACCTTGAAGAGGGTGAAAACAACAAGCGAGAACAAAAAGCCGAAGGAGGAGAAGGGGAAGAGACCTGAGCTAGACCACGCACCTTAAAGCTTTGGCGGAAGTTCGTTAAGCAGAGCCTACGGCTACAAACGAGAGTGAGGAGAGAACTGAGGTTGATCAAATACTAGCGGGAGACTCAAAAGATTGGCCTCAATAAGAATTATCTTCTATGAGAATGGGAGACTAAATTCAAACACTGTGAGGAGGGTGAAAAGACTGGAATCTCTGTTAAGAATCGCAAGGAAAGTGATGCAGCGTGATTTCAATACAGCGCAGGAATTCCGTTCAAGCACATTAGTAAAGATGTCTTGGTGAAAGACTTTGGTCTGCTTAGCTAAGCATCCTTTTAGCCCACCAGGTCATTTGAAGTGGCATTGAATATTCGACGCAGGTGGTGTGATATTCCAACGGTCTATATGGTTTACAATACAATCAATCAAGTCAATTTTCCAAATTCTTTTTCATCTGAGATCTGAGAGTAACATGTAATTTGGCATTGAAGTTGCTGGTTGAGCACCCTCGGCCGTAGCCAATAATGTACAGTGAAGATTCTTACATGATTGGAGTCGCAAGCAAGTGTTATCTACAAGCGGCTGCGCGGCATAAAATAAGGGCGGTGAATTTAGCGAACAATTTTTTCGATCCTAGCATTCTAGCCTTTTCTTTCTCCCCTCCAACTTGTAAATAAAGCATTCAATAATTAAAAATGGCGTCTCATACTCAAGTCGCTTTACCTCTCCCTGTCCTTCCAGAAGGATGGTCCGCCGAGAAGGATTTCAACGCCGTTGGCAGCGTTTCTGCTGCAACTCAACGAAGCCTTGAGCCTGTTGGTCCTCACTTTCTCGCTCACGCCCGCAGAGCTCGTCACAAGCGTACCTTCTCTGAGGATGACCGTCTCGAAGCCCAGAACAACGTCAAGAAAATCGAAGATGATGACCTTGGCGAGATCAGCGAAGCTGAAGACCCAATGATGTTGTCCAGAGATGCTAAGGACTGGAAGGTAAATTTAAATATCTGCCAACCCCACTATACTTTTGCTAATGCTCAATTAATAGAACCAAGATCACTATGCTGTTCTCGGGCTCAGCAAATACAGATACAAGGCTACAGAAGATCAAATCAAGAAGGCACACAGAAAGAAGGTCTTGAAGCATCACCCTGATAAGAGAGCTGCCACCGGTGCCACCGAAGATGACAACTTCTTCAAGTGCATTCAAAAGGCCACCGATCTCCTCCTTGATCCCGTCAAGCGTCGCCAATTCGATTCCGTTGATGAAGCCGCCGATGTTGCACCACCATCCAAGAAAGACCAAAAGGACCAGAAACTCTTTTACAAGAAGTGGAACTCATGTTTCAAGGCCGAGGGTCGTTTCTCCAAGGTGCAGCCAGTCCCCAAGTTTGGTGATATCAACAGCTCCAAGGAGGAGGTCGAGAATTTCTACAACTTCTTCTACAACTTCGATTCATGGAGATCGTTTGAATACCAAGATGAGGACGTTCCAGATGATAACGAGAACCGTGATCAAAAAAGACACATGGAGCGTAAGAACAACAACGCACGTAAGAAGAAGAAGACCGAGGATTCTGCTCGTCTAAGAAAATTGTTGGATGATGCTTCCGCTGCTGATGAGCGTATCAAGCGTTTCAGACAAGAAGCAAGCAAGGAGAAGAACAAGAAGAAGTTCGAGAGAGAGGAAGCTGAGGCCAAGGCCAAGGCTGAGAAGGAAGCTCAAAAATTGGCCGCCGAGAAGGAAGCCAAGGAAGCCGAGGAGAAGGCTAAGGCCGACAAGGAGCAAGGAAAGAAGGCCAAGGAAGCCGCTAAGGCAGCTGTCAAGAAGAACAGACGTATCTTGAAGGGCAGTGTCAAGGATGCCAACTACTTTGTCGGAAGTGGAGATGCACCAGCATCTGCTATTGACGGTGTCTTGAACGATGTTGAGTTGGTTCAAGGCAAGATCGATCCCGATGAGTGCGCTGCTTTGGCTGGCAAGCTCAACGGCTTGAAGATCGCCGATGAGATCAAGAGTGTCTGGAGCGAGGAGGTCAAGAGATTGGTTGGTGCTGGTAAGCTCAAGGAGGGTGATGCCAAGAACCTTGCTTAGAGTTTAGAATCTTGTACTTGTACATGATGGGGCGTAGTGGTAGAAATAATTAGATATAGAATGATACTTCATGACCTTTCTAGTAATTTTCGACTTATCTTGTGTGCTTGTATGTGCTTCTACATGCTATACATTCTACAGATTTCACATTCAGGGGCGAATCAACCGAACTAGCTACTTCTCAGAATCTTCATATTATCGTAATCCCAGCTTACATCAACGTTTACACCAATATTTCGAATGAAATTTCTGTGAAACATTCCCTTCCCCCCCTTTTTTTGGAGTATGCCTGATGCACAATAAACTCCCATCATACCTCTTCTAAACCATACTTTCCTCTTCCCGGAATTCCTTCACATTCACAGAGTGGCGTTTACATCATACATAACCTCGCTTACATTATATCATATTGCGTATATCATCATCGGATATCACATAGGCAGCAAGATTGATGTTTATCAATTTTCAATTAGCAGCTAGATAACTAAAGAACCAAGGAAATCAAGAAAAGTAGCAAGGAAAATGATTTAAGATCATGCCTGTCTTCATCTGCCAGCGCAGATCTGGAATAAGAATGTAAATATGAAACTGTGAATATTCGTCTGTCTGCTGTCTGATATTGCTGTTGAATGCCTGATCCAAAGATCTGGAGATAACGTAATGTTCTGGGAATAGAAGATATTGATACTGCGATTTGTTGTTCGTAAGGCCGTAAATTTCGTAACTTTGTGAGATAATGGATATTTGATAATTGGGTGCTGATAAATGTGTGTGAATGCATAGCGGAGCGAAATGGCAGTTTTCGATCTTCTGATAAGAAGTGTACTAGCCGGCAAGGAAGCTCGGCTGATGCAGAGCAATGCGAAATAGGGGAGCAGATGAAAAATACGCTGTGGACGCAAGATCGAGGGCTGCGGAATGGGCAAACACTTTAAGCTCCTGGAACGTAATCGCCATCCTTTACATCATCCTCGACATCGCTGATGTCGGAGACAACAAAGGTGTCTTCTTCCATACCCTTCTCTGCCTTAAACTCAGATATGTCGATCTCCTCTTCTTCGGGCTCTTCTTCCTCCTCCACAACTGCTTCTGCAGCCTCTTCACCCCAGGCAGAGTGCAGAGTCGCGAAACTTAAGTTTAGCGCATCCCGCAACTTGACCTTGGATGGACAAACCCCACCAACTCCGCCTGTAAGGGTAGTATCCTTAATGGTATGGTTATCCATCATCATGCTGAACTCTTCCTTGATCTTAGCGGTTGCTGTGTCAGTACTCTTAGAGAATTCGTCCGGAAGCGTGGTACCAAGCTTTTGAAAAGCCCCACGAATTGCTTTGGAGCATTTCTTATACATGGGTCGAACCGTTTTTCTGAATGAAATCAACGTGGGTCTCAATGTTTGCGCTTGAAGTGACCTTTGCCTTGAAGAGTATCTTCGTGTTAGCGTCGTTCCATGCTGGTGCTAATGAAAACATGTTTAACATACCAAATTCTCACCACACTTTTCGTAGATGGGTAACCATATTTCTCGGATCTTTGGAACAATAAGCTGATGTGCATCAGTAGCTGTAGATTTGATCTTGGTCTGGAAAATTTCCTCGGCGTTATCCTTCAATGGTTTAGCACCTTTCATGACACTCTGCTTCCAAAGACCCAAAGGCTCAGCAACTTGAGGACAGATGGCTGTAGCTGCGCTCACAACACGATCAACGAATACGTTGATGACAACGCCGACAGAGTGGTTGTACTTTTGATGAAAATCAGGTAAAGTCTTGTGAACTGTTTTGCGCCAGTGCTTGATCATGTAGTCATCGAGGTACAAGGCACCTCTGCTTGAGGTTAGAAGAGTAACATGATCCGAGACTTAAACACTTACAAATCATCATTCCAATGATGTACTGTACCAGTATTGCTCTTCCAATCTCCCTGATTGCGATTACAAGCTCGGTGAGTTCCCCATGCCATTGGTCGCTGGGCCCAACCTCTGACGGCAATCTCACCATTTGCAACAGCTTTCTTCTCTGTTAATGGCATATGCTTAAAGATACCATTCTCAAAATGCTTCTCAATCTGATCGACTGTGCGCGTATTAAGCTCTCTTAACTTCTGTAAGTCTGAAGTCAGTATCAATCATTGCACTATCAAAGTAGCCACACATGCCTTGCATAGAATATCTACTTGCTCATCAAAAGCGTTTTCGATTTCATCTTTTTGAGCGGCGGGCAGCTTATACTCAACAGTCGTATCAGCGGCCCACAATCGCAACGAAGTTTCTAGACTCTCAATATCCGCCAAGAATGATTCAGCATTTCGGCTACGAGTGCCCAATGTAGCATTGATCAGCCATGCTCGCAAGGCTGGAATTCCAGTGTCCTTCACTGTGAAAAACCCTTGATTCGATCTCTGTCCCATCATAAGGTCGAAAAATGCCATAGAAGAGACACAGAAGACTTGCAAAGGCTTTTCTGCCTTCTTCTCCCCCATTTGCTTCCTGACGGCCTCGAAATCATCTCGTAACGCTGTAGTGGAAACTGCATTTCGGTTTTGAATACACGCTCGCACCTTTTTTGAATCAAGTATCCACTGTGTACCACGCAACTTTGTTAATGTTTGCTGAGCTTTAAGAAGCCAGCTTTCATGATCTTTGATCTTATTCTGAATCTCCTGAGCTTCCTTCTGCATTTCAAAATAATGCTTTTTGTTTTGTTTGTTCTCCGCCGCCAATGCAGGCGCAATGGGAGCTATCGAAAACACACACACACACCAATTAGCATCGCCCCAACCTTGATTGTGGAATAATGGAACATACCTGTATCGTCACGCTTGCGCTTCAACTTGGCAGTATTAATATGTGCTCCGAGTTCCTTCATCTGTTTATTGCGTTCAGCCAAGTCTTGCTTATACTCCTTTATGCTCTGTTTATATGTAGCCTCGGAGGCACTAATACATTCAATGCCTTCTTGATTTCTGGCTTCTTTCTCGTGAACATCGGTGAGTTGTTTGCTGACTTCCGGATGGGTCCTAATGTATCGGGCCACACTAAGAGATGAATCAATCTTGGTAACGATGAAGCATAGATGGTCGCTTGAAAACTGATCCTCTAATTGCAAGTAACGCTTTGTGATAGACCCAAGTAAATCTTGAGCCTTGAGAAAATCATTAGCATATATGTACTCCAGGGAGGGGAAAGGGAAAAGTGACTAACTGGCTTGTCTGAAGCTGCTCTGCTCGTTGGCGAAACAACACAGCTGAGAGTCAAGTTTTTTGTATAAGTTGCAGCAAGGGCCCCACGAGCTGCATTGGTGTCCAGTGAACCTGGAAGATCGACAAGAACGATGCCAGTCTTGAGAACTTCGGCCTTGATTTGGAGGCGAACAAGCTTAACAAGAGGCCATTGAGCGAATTCATAGGTACCATTATCTTCCTTGGAATTGCTGCTATCAATGTAGGGCTTGATAGAATCGGCAAATTTTAAAAGATTATCGCTCTTAATAGTTTTGCTCTGACCCAGGATATCTCGGACATTACAATGGTTCATGAGAGTGGCAACAGTTTGACGTTGCAATGCCTCGAGACTTTTGATGGAAGGATAGACACACTTAACTTTGCCGAAAGCAGCCTTGATCCGCTCGTCTCGCTCGAGATCTGGCTCTTCACTATCTCCATCCTTGTTAGATATCTTATCGGCAAGGTCCCGAAAAAGATTTTCAAGCTCAGACTCCCAGTCCTCCTTATTGATGCGATCAATAATAGCCACATAGGCAGCAGCTGGGTCATTTCTAGGGTTCCATGAAATTTCACAGATGACGGCGGTGCAAGCCTTTTCATCATCGGCAGGTAAAAGATCCTCAAGCCCAAGAACGGAGTTGATGAGGGTTGATTTTCCGGCCCCAATAACTCCGAGGAATCCGATCAGAACTCGGCACTCTTTCTTAGCTGCTCGTATTGCCGCTATGAAAATTGTCAGCGACAACACATTGTACGAGAAGAACCCGAGAAAATCATAGCTTACCAATACGTTCCAGCCACTTGGTGGAACTCCAAACTTCTGGGTGATGCTGAAGAGCAGCTTCTAATTCTCTGAGTGTAGTGAGACCATTTTTAACGGCTTCTTCCTTGATATCAACTTGGGTCAGCCTGTCAAGATTGCCACATCGCTGCCATGTTGGAATGACATGATTGGGAGCCTTGTCTGCGAATGAGGGAGTAGGTGATGGTGAGGGATTGCGCCTGGGAGAGTCAGCAGTAAATGTAAACGGAGATGCGCTACGTCGAGTGTGATTCTCATCGTCGCCTACGAAGACTGGACTGTCTTTAGGTGAAGGCGATTGCTCGGCCTCAAGCTTGACACGGAAGTCTGCCATCTTGAGGTCTCGAAGATTGTCTCGGTATACGAGCAAAGCAGTGACAAATACTTTGGATAGGTTGACCAGGTGTAGCAAAGAGTTTAAAGGGCTGAGCTTTGAGGATAATAAATGGAGGTTGCAGATAATAATTGAAGTTTCGTTGAAGGAGTAGAGGTGCAAGACAAAGTGAGATGAAGAGGCTCACACTAGCGCGCTAGCACTAGCGTCTAAGTTCAAATGCAAAAGAGTGAATTTGAACAATCAAAGGTGAGAGTGATACCATGAAGCAATGGCGATCGATCTGAGATGCTGGTGTGAAGCGAAAGATCGATAGCAGTAAGCTTGGCTTTCTGGAAAGAAAGCAAAGAGGAGCTGTTGTGGAGCTCAATGAAGTTCTGATATAGCAAAAGGTAAATGATTGAGAATTGAAGGAGAAGGTACAAAGTTGGAGGAGACAAGTGTTGATTAAGAAGTTTGCAAGGAGATGGATAAAGGGGAAACTTCTCCGCACGTGGGCTGAGTCGAAAATGTTGGCGAAGTGAATTCTAATTCATCCCATTATAGTAATCCTAGATCGATAGAGAAACTTGATGATGACGTTGCAGCACTTTTCGAAATCTTGTCCAACCATGAGCTGCCATTGCAAGAGAATTTCTTTCTCGTCATGATACCAAATTACGCCTCATGTAATTGGAATAAGATACAGAGCAAACAAAGACACCATGGGTATTGGAAGAAGTGCAGTTTGATTCTCAACACTATATACATGTATTTTCCTAATAGCGCCTCACCTCCGCTGAAATACGATGCCACATGAATAACTCATGGGCCGTAGTGTGCGTAAATTTGTCTTTTACGTAGATGCACAGGGGTTTCGCCTGCGGGGGTATCTGGAATAACCTTCTCGATTTTCTATGCACGACCCATATGATTAGTCGCTGCTCTTCATTGTAAATTATGTGAAATGACATACCAGATTGTCAAAGACACATTTGTTGAGCTTCCACTCCTGTGGTCGACATTGCCATAGTTGCTGGTTGTTGTTATCGAGGCATTTCCTACAACATTATTAGATATGACTAATTCAATCACATCCGGAGTTCGTAGAGTGTAACTTACCAGTGTTTTCCTGAACTCCTCAAGGCAGTGTTTGTTCACATCTTCAATTCTATGATTGGCGATTAGCCTAGAGTTCTACTGGTAAAATCAAAGTATCCAGCCAGGGTTTGCTCCAAATCACAAATCCCTTCATCGATGTTTGAAGTTCCACATCTGCAACCTCTTAAGGAGTAGCACTTACACGCTCCTCGCACACCTGGTAACTCTTCGGCCTTCTTTCAAACAATCAATCTCTCCCTTTCCAGGATTGTCATTCTTGCATTGCATGAAATCGTCATTGTAGGGTCTGCATCTTGCGCCGATAAAGAAACTCGCGGACAATAATGGCGCCGAACTGCTACCAATCTCTGTGACGGGCGGAATGTCCGCAGGTAATGGGGTAGTGTCAATCAAGACTTGCTGATTGAATCTGTGATCGCGGTTAGCATCAGGTAGAAGTATGGTAATCTGCAAGCTTAGAAACATACCTGGGTTGACGGGCGGCCATTTTGAAATATGTTGTGAGGAGATACTGGGTTCGCAAAGCCCGTAATTGAGTGTTTTGGAGGTTCAATGCAGTATGAAGCTTTAAGGTCAAGTCAAAAACGCGGAAGTTGATTGGCTCATCAGCCGACCTCTCAGCAGTCGCGACCGATCAAAAGAGCTTCGTCCCGACAACGAATTTATGTTCCAGCAAAATAAGAATTCAATTCACTCTCTATACCTTTCACCCTGTGAAAAATATTGTATCAGCTTCAACATTGAACAGTATCTCGTCAATTAAATTCTATTGTTCATGTTTTAGCTTAGAAAAACTAAATTGCCGCAACGTATATCCGATAAAATATTACAATCCCAATAATATATTATCAAGCGCGTTCGCAAGGTCAACATTTTCTTAAATAGCTGCAATTATCCATTGTACCACAATCTCCTCGAGGCTACTTGCATCTTCCTTCAGTGATTCTATTTCGGCACTTCTATAATCCCGGACGCATAGAAGAACAGCTATGTTTGGAAGTACTTTCGGTCAAAGCCAGCCAGCTGGCGGAGGTTTATTCGGGTCAACAAATACCGCACAACCTTCAGGTGGTTTATTTGGATCTACAAATACCGCGCAAAAGCCAGGAGGATTATTTGGCTCGACCACAACTACAGGAGCTCAAAACCAGGGAGGAGGGCTCTTCGGCGGCGCAGGGCAAAATACTCAACAAAATCAACAACAGACTGGCGGACTTTTCGGTGGAGGACTAGGAACAAGCACTCAACAGAACCAGCCTCAAGCGGGAGGATTATTTGGAGCAAATGCACAACAGCCACAGCAGCAACAACCGGGAGGTTTATTCTCTGGACAGACTATGGGAGCGCAGCAGCAAAACACAATCCTGGGAGGATCACAGCAACAGACTGGTTTATTTGGACAGACGCAATCGTCGCAAGCTTTGGGCCAGTCACAAGGACAATTTGGAAATTCTTTGTTTACAAATACAAGTGGACTGAAACCTCGTACGTACCTATCGAGACTCATTCAAAGCGCGAACTAATTTTGATGCAGGAGAAAAGAGTGTGATAGACCAGATTGAAACAGTTGTGGGTAAATGGGATACAGGAAGCAAGGACTGTGCCTTCCAATATTTCTTCTATAATAATGTTGGTGTGGACGAAGCACCATTCTATCAACCACAACCCAACGAAGACCCAAGAGCTTGGGAAGAAGCCCTTTCGAAAAAGCCAGGACCTGGATATATTCCAGTCGCATGCATCGGTTTCCAAATGATGGGCGACAGGATCAAAGCCCAGCAAAACCATCTTGCAGCATTCAATATTCGGTTACATGATATCAATGCTAGCTTGTCGAACCTACTTCAAAATCACGACACGAGGACTAGTATACGGGCAATGGATGCGAGAAGGAAACATGTGGTCTTAAAACAACGATGCATAGCATTGGCGACTAAAGTGCAGGTCCTAAGAAACAGAGGCTATGCTCTTAGTGGAGACGAGGAGGACCTGAAAGCTAAACTTATTAAGATAGAAAAGGGGGCTAGCGATCCAGCACTGGGTGCCAGAGCAGAAGAGATCTGGGCTCGAATGATCAACGTTCAAGAGCGAGGTCGGTTATTGAGGACGGAACTGGAGAAGGTTGGGCAAGAAAATGGAGAGATTTTGGACGACACCATGACCGCGCGATGCAAGAAGGTAATTGTCACAGTTTCTACCGAAGTAATGATACGATGCTGACTCACAAACTAGATTCTCGAAGACTATCAAACTCAATTAGCACATTTAAAAAAGGAGTTGGATAGGGTACACAAGGATTATGTCGAATGGGAAAAAGAGCAGCCACCACAAATGGCAGCGAGGACAAGATTTGGCCGATGATTGATGCGAAATACCCATGGTTAGTTTGATCGGAAGTGCTTTAGACTTCATGGAGTTGGTTGGGATGTAAAAAAAGGATAGACATTGTATAATATGGAAGCTTAATTACAGACTAATAGTAGTAATTTCTCTTTCACTTCAAATTGATCGCAAATAACTGCCTATAATGTATTGATCTTGAAAGATAGGCTTATGCACATGTCATAATTACGCCCTTATCATTTCTCTCAATGGGGCCAAGTGACTCATAGCCTAAGATCAACCTCCTATAAAGATAAGAGACTCATTTGATGCCGAAATTCAAAAGTCTTCATCTGTACTATCAAGCGACCAATTGATTTTCGCAAACTTTTCGTTCAAAATGACACCACCCCCAATCCCACCCGTCTCCCTCTACCCCGCCGACTTCGAGACCTCCTTCCCGACCGTCTCCCCAAATTCCCCTCCCTTCCCCTCTCTAATCCCCATTTCCCATACCACAAATCGCATTTCCCTCGTTCCGCTCTCTGCAGACCACATCCCCAACCTCTGGAAACACGTCGGCGGAGCGGAAAAATATGTGCTCTACAAATATATGCCCGGCGGACCCTTTAACACCATTGAAGACTTCACAGCATATCTCACGTGGCTTGTTAATTACTCTGAATCTAGCTTCGTTAATTGGGCAATCATCTTACCAAGTGGAGAAGCCGTGGGAATCATAAGTCTGTTGAATATTGTACCAGATCAGAGGAGAATTGAGGTTGGACATGTGTTATTCTCGAAGGTACTGCAGAGGACCACAGAGGCGACGGAAGCTTGTTTTCTTTTGATGGATTACTGTTTTAAGTTGGGGTATGAGAGGGTGGAGTGGAAATGTAATGCGGAGAATATGGGAAGTAAGAGGGCGGCGGAGAGATTGGGGTTTGTGGCGGAGGGGCTTTTCAGGAGACACATGGTCGTGAGGGGACGGAGGAGGGATAGTTGGTATGCGAGTGTGATTTTGGATGAGTGGGAGGGGGTCAGGGGGGCACTAGTAGAGTGGTTGGAGCTGGAGAATTTTGATGAGAAGGGGGGGCAGAAAAGGAAAGTGGAGGAGATCAGGGAGGAATTGCTGAGGAAGTTTGACTAGAAAGTCTATGGAGCGGGCGAGACTGGTGCTGGTGCTGGTAGGAGAAGGGGAGAAGAGGTCGAGAACTTCTGTTGCATATAGACTTGATTTGACAGATGCATAGAAACATGATCTTGTATGACGTATGTAGCAGCAGTGTTCCGGATATTACAAAAAGCGTTCTTGTTCATATGCAACTTCGTTTTGATAGCCTCTCTATCTTTGGCTGCGATGCCCTGAAGAGCAGAGTTACGCTGCTAGAGCTTTTTATAGAGTATATGTATGATCCCCTCTCGATCCTCGCGATTTTTACTCTCTAGCACGAAAGAAATATAAGTGACAATGCCAGCAATTTATATATGCAGCGCTTGTACATTATATCCATGCATATTCCCATTCTATTGTACACCTCCTCGATCTTCTCATGCGCTTATGTTGTACAGGTCATGATGCATTATTCGTTTGCAATCCTAGATGAGGTTTTGAATGCTCTTGACGGCGAAAGGTGCTATCGTAAAGTCAGTACAGATAGGGTACTAATAGAAAAGAGTAAAACATACAAAGATAAAGAAGAATAGACCATGTAATGACTCGTTGTACGGTAAGGGTAGCTTCTTCCTCTTGAGCCTTAAGCTCGGCTGCCGATGGTGGTGGTGGTGCTAGAATTGAAGTTAGAAAAGTTCGCAGATATGATTTAGAGATGTCACCTACGTCCTCCGAACATTTTTGTGGTGTAAAATTGTAGATGTGTTGAAGTATTAAGGTCGACGATGAGTTGATGTTTTACACACTACAATTATGAATTTTAATCTTTCTTCCCGTCACATTTGCTTACTACTTCCATGTGCGTAATTAGAACATTTAAGGTTTCGTGGTAACTACACTAAACTGAAAACGGTTTCGTGGCCCATCAATCACTGTTTTGAGTGAATCTTTTTTCGGCTTGACTGAACTTATCTTGTCATGAATCCTTATCCCGCCTCTAGTTCTATCATATTAGAAAAAAAGTCACTAGTCGGATAATCTTTAGATTTCATATAAAATAGACTCATCTCTCATCTTTTCATTTATTATACTCACTGTCGTTTTCCTTTATTGTTTCATAAATCTCATATCTCACTCATATCTGATAGTATCTCTATCTCTATCATCTTATCTGAATGTGGGGTTTATGACAGTCGGTGCACTCACAATCCTAGCTGTTCCTAATATTCCCGGACCTCTCCCCAGAATTTAACTTTCTCATACAGCTCACTCCTAAAATCACCGACCCTCTTTCTTGATAAGTTTCGCAACCAAACCTTCAGGTTCAAGAGCTTCGCGGGTTTCTGCAAACTCAAGAACAATGGTTGCCTCAAGTCTTGCACTTCGTGCGAGATTTGCTCGAGTGGCGCTTCAATCGAGAAGTTCTTCTTTGAGAAGCTCAAACATCACACGACCATGGAGCTCTGGTCAATCTCCATGCTCTGCCATGGTTTTGAAGCCAATTGGACGACGAACTTTCTACAAAAGCTCTGCAAAGGATGAGACAATCAATTCGCCTTCGACTTTAAGTTCTACGGGAGTATATGCTCCTTTGGATACCTTCGCGCGCCGACACATTGGTCCTGATGCGGATTCTACAGAACAAATGTTGAAAGCTTTGAATCCACCAGTCAAGAGTTTGGATGAGTTTGTGCAGCAAGTTTTACCTCGCGGCATCTTGTCTTCTAAAGATCTCAAAATCGACGCCGAATCGGAATCGTCACAAGAAGGGTTCACGGAATCTCAATTGCTTGCGAGACTAAAGTCGATTGCGTCCGAAAATACGATCATGCGAAGTTACATTGGATGTGGATATGCCGGAACCCGAGTTCCGGAGGTTATCAAGAGAAATGTGTTGGAAAGTCCAGGATGGTACACTAGCTACACGCCATATCAACCTGAGATTAGTCAAGGTCGGTTAGAATCGCTTTTAAATTTCCAAACACTTGTCTCCGATTTGACGGCTTTACCAATTTCCAATGCCTCGCTACTCGATGAATCTACCGCCGCTGCCGAAGCCATGACCTTGTCAATGAATGCCCTTCCACTTACTAGGCAGAAAAACAAGAATAAGACATTTTTTGTTAGTCATTTAGTCCATCCACAGACATTAGCAGTTTTACAAAGCCGAGCAGATGGATTTGATATAAAGATTGAAGTTGGAGATGTCCTTGCAGATGGTGGAGCTCGCCTCAAGGAACTTGGAAATGATCTCATTGGAGCTTTGGTACAATACCCTGATACCGAGGGTGGCGTAGAAGACTTCCGTGGTCTAGCAGACGTCATCCATGCTCAAGGCGCAACTTTCAGTGTTGCTACTGATCTTTTAGCTCTTACTGTTCTCACACCGCCTGGTGAGTTTGGTGCCGATATTGCTTTCGGAAACGCTCAGCGTTTTGGTGTTCCATTTGGTTATGGTGGTCCACATGCCGCTTTCTTCGCCGTCAGTGACAAATATAAGAGAAAGATTCCTGGACGTCTCATTGGTGTATCGAAAGATAGGCTGGGGGACAAAGCAATGAGATTGGCTTTGCAAACTAGAGAACAGCATATCCGCAGAGAAAAAGCTACTAGCAATGTGTGCACGGCTCAAGCGTTATTGGCTAACATGAGTGCATTCTATGCAGTCTACCATGGTCCAGAAGGTCTCAAGGCTATTGCTGAGAGAGCTATTCAAGGAGCTCGATTTGTTCAGGATGGACTCAAGAGCCTTGGATTTGAGACCAACTCCAGGGGAACGGGCTCCGACGGAAAAGTTCTCTTTGACACGGTCGTGGTTGATGTTGGACAGGGTAAATCTGATGAAGTCCTCAACTATGCCACCGAGACTTTCAAGATCAATCTAAGAAAGTTCGATGATAGCCGACTTGGTATCACTATTGACGAAACGGTTGACATCAAGGACCTTGAAGATATCATATCTGTGTTTGCCAAATTTTCCAAGACAGGATCTGTATCTTTCAAGAACACTACTGAGTTGCAAACCTCTTTTGATAGTTCGATTCCTGCAGAATTGAAGAGATCATCGCAATACCTCACTCATCCAGTTTTCAACACACACCACTCCGAAACCGAGATTCTCCGTTACATTCACCACCTCCAATCAAAGGATCTGTCCCTGACACATTCCATGATACCCCTGGGCTCCTGTACAATGAAACTCAATGCCACTACCGAGATGGCTCCAATTACATGGCCGGAATTCTCCTCAATTCATCCCTTTGTTCCTACTAATCAGGCGACTGGTTACAAGACTATGATTGATGAGCTTGAGGCTGATCTGGCTACTATCACTGGATTTGATGCAGTATCTCTGCAACCAAATTCAGGTGCACAAGGAGAATTTACTGGGTTACGTGTAATTCGCAAGTTCCAAGAACAACAGCCTGGAAAGAAGCGTGATATTTGCTTGATTCCTGTTTCTGCCCATGGTACCAACCCTGCATCAGCTGCTATGGCAGGTATGCGCGTTGTTACTGTGAAATGTGACATCAAGTCTGGTAACCTCGACATGGCAGATCTCAAAGCAAAATGTGAGAAATATAGCGAAGAACTTGGAGCTATTATGATCACATATCCAAGTACATTTGGTGTTTTTGAGCCAGAAATCAAGGCTGCATGTGGTATTGTTCATCAACATGGAGGTCAAGTATATATGGACGGCGCCAACATGAATGCTCAAATTGGATTGTGTTCACCTGGAGAGATCGGTGCCGATGTATGCCATCTTAACCTCCACAAGACATTCTGTATTCCTCACGGTGGTGGTGGTCCAGGTGTTGGTCCAATCGGTGTTAAATCTCATTTGGCACCATTCCTACCCGGCCATCCATTGGTAAAGACTGGTGGTGAGAATGCCATTGCCCCAGTCAGCGGTGCTCCTTTCGGAAGTGCAAGCATCTTGCCAATTAGTTGGGCTTATGTGAAGATGATGGGCGGTAAAGGATTGACTCATGCTACCAAGATCACTCTTTTGAATGCCAACTACATCATGTCTCGTCTCCGACCTCACTACCCAATCCTGTACACTAACGCCAATTCTCGATGTGCTCACGAGTTCATCCTCGATGTTCGTGGTTTCAAAGAGTCGGCAGGTGTTGAGGCTATTGATATTGCCAAGCGTCTTCAGGATTATGGTTTCCATGCTCCAACTATGAGTTGGCCAGTCGCTAACACCCTTATGATCGAGCCCACTGAGTCTGAAAGTAAGGAAGAACTTGACCGCTTCATTGACGCATTGATATCAATTCGTAAGGAAATTCAAGCCGTGGAAGATGGCACCATTCCAAAGGCAGGCAACGTCTTGAAGAATTCGCCACACACTCAGAAGGATCTTCTTATTGGAGAATGGAATCGCCCATACACTCGAGAGCAGGCGGCATACCCATTGCCTTATCTCAAGGAGAAGAAATTCTGGCCATCCGTCACCAGACTTGATGATGGTAAGCTTCTCTATTTTCATGTGAAATTTCATTTGCTAACATACCTTCAGCCTACGGCGATACCAATCTCTTCTGTACATGCGGACCCGTGGAAGCAACTGAAGATGCTGAAAACGGCATCACGGGTGTTTCGGCTCCACAACCCACATAATTGCATTTTAGCATTTTGTTTTGCACATTTTAACATTTAGCGAGCATATGGTTAACCTTTTTTTTCGGGTGGGAAAGGAAAGGTTAATATCAAAAGGGATTTCAACATGAATAATTCAACATTGGGAGGAGTTGTGGGTATCTATCTATCGTGTATTATGATATGATGTGATGTGATCATGACTTGGGATGCACAAGGCGTTTGAGAATACACATATATAGAGGGTTCCTTGGCTTCAACCGCCAGGGGGGGATTGGGACTCATGAATGGATGGATCCATAGATGGTTACTCATACGGTTTATATTTTGCTTTGATGTTTATAGATCAATCGCTTTGGGGAGAAGCGTGATTGTGTGGATGAATGGGGGAACTTTCAGATATGAAATTGCGAAATATATAAGCA